AGAAAAGGAAAACACAGGAAAAATTCATATATAACTTTGATCTCAAGGGATTTGTTAATGGAATTTATAGTTCTCATGGAATAGGACATATAGAAGCCACAATACTATTTGAAAATTTACTACGGGTATTCTTAGAACAAGATCATCTGCCTGGTCCAGTGGGTGTGCCTCAGTGGTTGAGCACTGACCCATTAATCAAGAGGTCACTGGTCAGGACACATGCCCGGGTTGCCAGATTGATTCAAATGTGGAGCGTGCAAAAAGCAGCCAGTCAATGATTTTCTCATCATTCATGTTACTATCTCTCTCTCTCTCTCTCTCTTCCTTTTTGCAATCAATAAAAATATACTTCAAGAATGAGAGAGGGAAATATAGGAACTGCTGATATTGACTATCAAAAGAAAATAGGAATGAAATAAGGAAAGGGAAACAACCTAGCAAGGCAAAACATCAAAAGTAGAGAAATAAATCCAAAGATATTAGTGGAAAAGCAAATATAGCCTCTGACCCAGGACACATCTTTTACCTGAGAAGCAGCCATCTGGTCCTGGCTACTGATCCTGGTCCTGGGATGTTTTCTCAGGTGACAATATGTTGAGGAGTCACAGAATGTGCTTTCAAAGGTGTCTGCACAGCCTGTTAATCAGCTCACCTCACACCCACAGTGAGAAGAACCTGCAAATGAAGGAAAGGCCACCTCATCCTGCATGTGTCACAGGAGACTCAGGAACAATGAGCTCCTATATGTGAGGTGTTTTATTCTGTCTTCATGTGTCTGTCATTCCAAAGACTTTCACAAATTCCTACAGCAATGAGAGCATATGCTGATTTTCTGAAACACCAAACACAACATAGCACCCCCTACTTCCCCCCCAAAGAGCCTGCACTGAGGCCCATGTGATGCCATCTTTAACCAATTCACTCCTGAGGCCTCTGAAGCTCCCCCAAGAGCTGATTTCGTAGCGCTGGGTAACACATCAGTCCCAGCATGCCTGAGACCTGTGGGTAGTATAATGGTGTCACAGCACAGCTGCTCTGAGTCCATATATTCTGAATTCTACTTGACTATGCCATGTATCAGAGTAGGACACATGCCCAGGAGTGTTTAGTCCTAAATCCTGCTCATAATGCTAATTGTGAGAGCAAGTTCCACCTTGAACCCTGCTCACTGCACCAAACGTTGGCAACTTAGTCTAAGTTCCTCCTTTACCTTCAGCTCAACTACCCCAACTGTGGGGTCCTTGTTTCTCTGCCAGGGACTGGACCTTCTTGAATGTGAAATAGTAGGAGAAGCCATGAGAAGATGTGGGTATATAAGAGAGTCTTTACTGTAGAAGCTAGTGGCCCGAAAGCACTAACAATGAGCCATTAGACAAAACAGCTCTTCACAACAGTCCTATACAGGCAGCCGCACACCTGCTGCCAAACAAATACATCTTTCCCACAAAGTAGCAGAAGCCTCTGTACCCACAGCCTGAAGCAGCAGCAGTATTCTCTATGCCTACAGCTATCATCTGAGCAGCTGCACGCTGCCTGTTTACTCACAGTCTCACATAGTAGCGGCACCTGAGCTCCCTGCATGTACCCAGGCTCTTTAGCACGCAGGCTTCACAAGGTAGTTATTATATCTGAGCTCTCCACAAGCTCACAGCCTCACATCATAGAAGTACCAGCTCGCAGCTTCATCTGAGGTCTCTAACGTTACTAATATACTTTAATACTACTTACACAAAAGAGGCTTCCTGCCAACAGTGACATCAATCCTTTGGGTTATAGAAGGGCACAGTGTAGATTGCAGTGGCCTTGTATCTGTGTACAGTCCTTGCTCACCCTGATTAAGATTCCCATGGTCAGAGTGTCCTTAGCTATCTAACATATTACAGATGAGTCCACCACTCTAATTGCCCCTGACTATATGGTATTACTGGCATGGTTCCCACAGATGATTTGAAGCAAGAAGTTTTACCAGTGCAGGTTTCCCAGGTAGATTTCCTTCATCTTTCCCCAGGAAATTACAGAGAATGTAGATCTTAACACTAAAGTCTTTGGGAAAGGTTAGATATTCAAATATGCTGATCAAGTGAATTCACCATGAACAGATGGTCTCTGTGGGAATTAAATTTCAGGTCAGCCCTAACTGATTTGGCTCAGTGGATAGAGCATCAGCCAGCAGACTGAAGGGTCCCAGGTTTGATTCTGGTCAAGGGCATGTACCTTGGTTGCAGGCACATCCCCAGTAAGGGGTGTGCAGGAGGCAGCTGATCTATGTTTCTCTCACATAGATGTTTCTAACTCTCTATCCCTCTCCCCCACCTTTGAATAAAATATGTGGCCAAAGAAAGCACAGTGAGCCTGGCCAGCGTGCCTCAGTGGTTGAGTGTCGACCTATGAATCAAAAGGTCACGGTTCGACTCGGGGTCAGGGCACAGTACTTTGGTTGCAGGCACATCCCAGGCAGGGGGTGTGCAGGAGGCAGCTGATCGATGTTTCTAACTCTCTATCCCTCTCCCTTCCTCTCTGTAAAAAATCAATAAAACATATTTAAAAAAATTTTTTTTCAGGTCAATCCAGTCCATCCTTCAACATTTTCTGAGAATGGAAACGAGAGACTTGAGGAGAGCAGCTCCTTTGTGGCTCAGTCACTAAAACAACAAATCACATAAAGGGAAGGAAGCAGCTGCTCACAGAACTAGGCTCTGACTGGTAAGATCTTGGACATCCTTACCAATGCCCGCTGAGATCGCCTCATATTACTACGTGCCAATGAATGTTTGAGACATGATAAACAGTAGAAATGATACAGGGGTTAGAATGTGAACGACCAGCAATATATTTAAAACTAAAAACATCACACGCGTAATATCTGTACTTATCAATATGTGATACGTCCTCTATCCAAGGACATTATATTAAATGTATTTTTGGAGCAGGGATATGGAACAGAAGCTTGCTCTGTCCACTCTACACATCAAGGTGGTGTTGCAGTACCTCTGGAATGGTGCAAGAAGAAAAACAAACAAACAAAAGCAACAAAAACAATTAGGGTGGTTATTTGTTAATGTAATGATATCTAGGTTTAAAGATGTAAAAAGGTGGAAATTACCTTATACTAAGAAAAGAATAAGAGATGCTTCTGAGTCCTGGCTGGTTTGGCTCATTGGATAGAGCGTCAGCCTGTGGACTGAAGGGTCCCGGGTTCGGTACAGGTCAAGGACACATGCACAGGTTTCTGGCTGGATCCCCAGTGGGGGGCGTACAGGAGGCAGCCGATTAGTGGTTCTCTTTTATCATAATGTTTCTCTCTCTCTCTCTCTCTCTCTCTCTCCCCGCCTCCCTCTCTGAAATAAATAAAAATATATACAAAAACATTAAAAAAGAGCTGCTTCTGAGATGTCACCAATGCTTATTTCAGCAGTTAACGACTATTTACATGAATGAAATGTCAGAGATATGAAATGCAAATCCATTGGGGAGAAAAAAACATTGATCCTTCTAACATCCCTTATAAAGCATCCTGTGGGGGCAGACTCAGTCATTTCTTGTCCCAAGTCACCT